TTTGACATCGATGGAGCCCAGGACCATTCCGAGATTCGCCGCAATTGACAACACGATGCGGATAATTGGAAATTGCGCTGTTGCGGAGTCCTTGCGGACTTTTTTCTTATCCCGGTCACGATTGCCATGAGGGACGAGCCTACACTTCAACTTTAACTTGTCCGTCTCACCTTCGTGTTTCAACTGAAAGAAGTGATGAGACGAAATCAAGTTTGCATTCGGAGGAAGCCGACTGATGTGGAGTTCTTCGTAAGCGCCATCGTAATTCTCCTTCTCCTTCGCAATGGACTTATCGATCACCCACTGGGAGACGAATTGGAATTGATGTTCTGACAGAGGTTTGTCCCCGAGGACTTCTCTTGCTCTTTGTAGGATCTCTTGTTCTGAAGTCTTGAGGGAGCAAGGAAAGTCTGGGGGCGACATAATCGGTACATTTCCGACATCCTTCGGGGGTTGCAGAGGTTTGTACTCTTTGGTAATGTCGCTCTGGTGTGAAGTTCCTCTTTCCTTTCTCCTTCCAAAGAGAGAGTGTGAGAACAACAGGGAAGAGTTTCCAACATCAACAGCAGGCTGCTCGAAACTGGAGCGCCGTCGCCGTGAGAGGTTTCCGGCAAATAGAGTTAGGGAATTTGGGTGTTTAGCCCACAGAGCGTGCTCCTTTTCAAATAAATCTAAGGCATCCACAGTGTCCGAAATTTCTCTGTCCTCCAGTTCTGTTGTATCCAAGTCAGGTACGGCTGGCTGGATGGCTTCCTCAGTCTCGTATTCCGGTGTGAATTTGATTCTTGCCCTCGGTTCGTCGGCTTCAGCATTCCACGGGAACATCTCCGGCAATGGAGAGTCTTCTCCGAGAATATCGCTTGGGACTTCAGGCGGTGCAGCCGGGTCTGCTCCTGTGAACTCGTCTTCTTCCACTATAGAGGACGAGCGAGGAAAAACATAGTTCATTTTGTCAAGTTCTTGCAGGAGAGAAGACCTCGGCGCGACTCGCACATCCTCGAAGGCTGCCCGGATTGGCAGACCGTTGTGGCTAGGTTTGCTCGAGATTGAAACTGAATGTGGTTCTAGTTCTCGAACATATCCTTTCTCCCATTTCCCGAACTTCAGGCCTTTCTTGAAGTAATATACTGGAGTGTTTCTCTGAAGCAGGGATGGATCAACGGTGCGAGAATTCCTTGTCGTCTCTAGGAGCTGAAGCGCACGACGGGCCACTTGCTCTTCGTGTGCAGCTATCAGCTCCTGTCTCACTCGAGACTGCGGAAGACCCCCCAGCGAAGGAGTGTAGCCCCTGGATAGCTCGAAGCTGCTCAGCTTCTTGTTGCCGTATAGAATGTTGCTTATGAACGTCGCTCGCGACACAACATCATGCCGTCCTGTAGCGGCTCCTCGTTCTTGGGCGAAATACTCGGCGTCTCTGATGAAACGTTCTGCGATTAGACGAATCACTGCGTTTTTTCTTTCGACAATCCCGAGCTTATTATGGCGACGAGCCGGACGATCTTCGAATCTGGCGCCAATGTAAGCGATGAACTCTTTGAACCTCCGGTTGTTGAACTCTTGGTCTGCTGATACAAGTTCAGGGGCTCCATGGACGTTGCACCATTGTGCCTCGAACTCCTTTGTGGCGAGGTCCATCTCCCTGGAGTCCAGGAGGGCGGTCACCGAGAATCCGGTGTGCACGTCGACCAGATGGAGTATCGGCTTCTTGCAGAGCTCGACAATGTAGATGAAGTCGATCTGGACGTGGCTGTTGAAGGAGGCAAGGATCTTGCTAAAAGAGACCTTGCGAGAGATCAGTGGTCTCCCCGTAGATTTGCAAGAAGTGCACTTGCTTACGACGGTGCTCAGGGCTTGCCGCAGAATTGGAGTAAGAACTCCGCCTCTCTTGCAAAGCGTCAACATGTCCTGCAAAGGTAGATGGCTGAACCCATGAAGCCGGACGGCAAATTGTTTGGAAACCCTGCCATCCGACAACCTCTCCCTCTTCAACGCTGATCGATCACCCTTATTCACAAAAAGGGTCCGATACGTGGCAAAGTACGCCTTAAACGTTGACGTCTTGGATGGGACAATGAAGAGGTATGTTCTCTTGGCGTCCTTGTCTTCCAATGAGACGGGTTCGCTGTACGTCTGCAGCGTTAGCTGCTTTCTTGAAATGCCGCGAACCCCTGCGGGAATTACGAGAAGGTTCTCCGTACCCAGCAAACGAGATTGATGAAGGATCTCGTTGCCGAGTAACAGGAAGCCGTTACCGGGTGTCAAGTAGAACGGAATCTTGGCTTCCTGTCCGAATACATCCTTGACCGGCATATCTCATATGGCGATGGTAAGTTCCGCTTCGCTGCAGTGCATGCCATACCCGTGGAAGAAAGGGTCGCAGTCCAAAAGTCGCAGCTCGAAGGAGATACCGAGAGCAAGGCACAACGCCGCGGCAGCTTCGATCCCTCCGACGCTGCGTGGACATCCGTCCAGAATCGGGTTAACGTCTTCGAGACCCGTTCTGACGTCAGACACGGCTCCACGATCCGACATAAGGCTTAGTTGTTTCCTTGTCCGGAGCTGGAGCCTGGGCGAAAAAATTCTTTTGCTGCCTTTGTCCCTGGGAAGAAGTCATTTGGGTTGGATTGGGACGACGCTTCGTCATGGTGTATTTGCTGGGAAATTTGCAACGCAGATCTCCAGCATAGTGGTCTTCATCGCCGCAGTCAAAGCAGACCTGCCTGCGAAGGTTGGGGGGAGGAAGGGACTTCGCACTTGGTCCGCCCTTCCCCTCGACCTCTCTTTCCACGACGGGTCTTCTTGTTTCTGTCGTTCTTTGCATGCCTGTTTTCACCTTGAGCACCCACTTTGCGATCGGACCTGTATCCAACTGAAAATAGGGCTTGCTGCACGTTGCGTTGGACCAGAGATTCTACTTCTCTCATGCTCATCGACGAAGAAGAGCTGAACGCCGTGAGAGTGAGGTTTCCAAGAATGGAAAAGGCGTCATCAAGATTGAGTCGACAGGCATGCTTTTTGAAAGAATCCTTGACTCGACTGAGGCGTCAGAGGAGTTGGTTGCCGTCGGGACAAAAATGCGTTCCAAGCATTCGGCGAACTTCTTAGACTCTGAATAGCTCCTCGGCGATACTTTTTCATGGCCCGCAACAGCCCGTCCGCACCTTTAGACTGATTGTAGGAGAGTGGACCATGCAGATCCTCCAAAACTTGGTACTTCTGCTTCAAGTCTTCTACATCCTTCAGAAAGCTTCGGGGACTTGCACAGTGTCTTGAGAGTCAGTATTGTGACATTTTTCTCGATTTTCCGCGAGAGCAATTAGCTGAAGCTTTGCGTTTGTAAGCGTACCCTCCTCCAAGTTTGCATTATTGAGGAGAGTGATTGCCAACACCTCGGCGATTTGCAAGCCGCTAGTTACATTTGAATGGATGAGGTGTTCGGCTGCAAGACCACGGAATCTTGAAACAAATACGGAGAGATCTTCATTTTTCTTTTTGCGACACGTTGTCACCTTGTTATAAGAGTCGATTAAACGGGTTACGACTGCAATGGGAGGATCGACGGCGATCAACTCCACAATGTCAGCCACAGCCGCGATCTGGTCCTCCTGCTTGTAGTCGATGATCTTCTTGGCCTGAGCTTCATCAACGATAGATTGTTGAGCGCTCAGAAGGCCGCTGTCGTACAAGACGCGCCCAAGTGTGGCAAAGATTGTCTTATAGACCCGATCAGGGCCCGAAAGAGCGGAGTGCTTGATAAGATCCACCCAGCGGTAGACCTTCTTGGGCCAATCCTGAAAATCACCTCTCGGTTGAAAGAATGGGGGATCTAAGCGCGAGCGCAGGTCTTTCTTTTCGTTCAACCCTGGGCCCATAACTATGGTTGCGGTGGGTGGCGGCTTGTGGTATCCGCGCGTGGCGCAGCGGTAGGGCGAACGAGGGGGGGAACGTTAGTCGCGAGAGAGGGATGTGGTGCGGCGAAGAAGGAAAGGCACAATGTCCCCCGGGGTCGTAGCCTGCTCTGGCCCCCCGGTGCGCCGACCAATTCTGGTCGGCGCTATTTCAAGAAAATTGTAGACCTAAATTATCCGTCGGCAGCGCCGGTCGCCGCCGGCGCTTTAGCCCGCACACGTGGCCTATTACCACGTGGCCCAACTACAGTCTGTCTATACACTTGTACTATGCAGTGAACCCTCCCGATAAGGATCATTCTCCATATGGATATCCTCCGTAAACGGATAAAAAGTCGAGCGACGTACTCCGTAGCTTACAAAGTTTTACCAAAAAACAATGTGAAATAAGCATATCATACAGACCCCTCCTACTTAAAAACGTATTTTATGGTTACTTTTGAGCGGCCAAGGCACAAATTACCCCATAATCGTTCATTCTTGATCGATCCCTTCACAATCTGCTCAATAAATTCTAATCCCCGTCTGAGGCTTCGCAATTATCATCGTTCTCGACAAAAACATCTTTCTAGCATATACTCCTGTTGGTCCTCCCCCAATAAATCTCCTCTGATCGCAAACATTGCGTGTTGTCAGCACCGTAGCCATCTGCCCCCGTCAAGCGACAATCGTCGATGAAGCGCTCTGAGCTTAACCTCGCCCAAAAGCAACAAAATATGTGCAGAGTTCCAACGGCGCAAAAAGAGCAAGGAGCAGACGTCACAAAGCGCCCTTGCGAAGTGGGCCTCAGTGCAGTTTTCCCTTTCCAAACCTCCTGCTCAAGCTGTCATGTCCCGCATCATCAACGGCAAGTATGGTTTTCGTCCCGATATCTCTGCGTACCAAGAAGGGGAATTGCACAGTCCAGACGACGATAAATAAATTTTTAAGTAAAGCACAGACATTCTGAGAGATGCAAGTCACCGTGACACCGTTATGATACGGTCTCCGGATGTGAATAACCTCCGCAAATGGATACGGATTACGTCCACCGAGCGTATCCATATCGAGAGGGTTCACTGTAGACAGACACTCTTAACAACGCTGCGTACAATGGTTGTACGCAGACTGTATAGACTCAATACAGTCTGCGTACAACCATTGAACAATAGTACATGGGGTAGAATCCAAGCTGTGCAGCGATGCATTTACCCTTCGGGTAGTACGCCGGCATCAAGTTGCCGCGCGCTTACGAAACACCCGCGTCCACCATCCTACGATGCGCCCATCTCGACATTGAGGGCATCGCCATGGACCGCGAGGTCATGCGTCTGCGCGATATGCTATCGCCAAAGTTTGCCGAGCTCGTGTACAACGGCTTCTGGTTTGCCCCCGAGACTGACTTCCTGCTCGCCGCCATCGCAAAGAGCCAGGAGCTCATCGACGGCTGGGTCGACGTGGTTTGCTACAAGGGCGCCACCATGGCCGTGGCCCGCTTCTCGCCCATGTCGCTGTACGATGAGAACATTGCTAGCATGGAGTCTGTCGAGGTGTACTCGCCTGAGGACGCCGGCGGATTCATCCGCATCAACTCCATCCGTCTCAGAGCGCACAGGGAGATTATCATGAACTGCCCACCCGAGCGGCTGAGCGCGTTCAGTAAGAAGAACCGCGAGCTCAGCGGTACGTACGAGGCCGTCATCAACACCAACGCCGCTACGGCTAATGATATGGTGAAGCCCGCTCAGTAAACCTGTTTTCACCCACCGGTGTGTTCGTGAAAACGGTTGAAACACAGCTCGTTTGTTGAAGCAAGCCTCTGCTGTATATAAAAACTTTATCGTCGCTTTTCTCCACTTCTCGCGTTAGTAGTTGTTTAGACACACCAGCTTCTTCATCACTACCTCCTGTCGGCACAGCGGGCACACCTCCTACATCACAAAATCACAAAAGCAAACACAGTTAGCAACTTCTTTCTCCTCTTGCGCTTCGCCATCAAAGCACAAAACAAACGTACGTTCGACGAGCACCAGTTACAAATACACTTCCAGCAAAACACATGACCGCACCCGGTCACCGTCGCCTTATTCATCCCGCCCAGGCACAAAATACACTTCTGCCCCTCGGCCTCCTCCTCCTCGGCCTCCTCCGTCTCCGCCTCCCCCCTGCGTAAAAGCTCCACCCCGACCCTCCTCGCAAACTCTCGCCACCCAACAGCACACCCCCTGCCCCTCCTTACCGTCCTGACGGCCCTCCCCGCCACGCGCCAAGCCTCCACGGCGACCTGCACCATGAGGAGCACGCCGAGCAACCTAAGCGTGCCCAAGCTGGCCG